AGATGATGATGTGCAGTAAATGGCATCATGCAGGCATCGGCTTCAAATGTTTAGAAAGCGAGTCCGAAAATGAGCTAATATCTATAAGTACTGGGCCTTCCTGGCCTGATATTTCATTTTTGCGCTTATTATTGTTATAATTTCATAAATCTTGATCTTCAAATTTTCTAAAATTATTGGGATTTACTTTTTTTTAGATTGGCAGTCAGTTTTGCACAAAATACAAAGATTAACAGTGCGTTTAAAAACTTAACTACTGCGTACCAAAATAATCAAAATAAGCATGATGATTCCTATAAGGACTCGATGTTAGCAGTGTTACTAGAATGCACCCACACACTGGGCGTAACTACGCTAGACAGATAGCGATTATAGAATACAGGGAAAATATAAATTAACATTATTTTATTTCTAAACATATTCCAGGATAGTATTCAGCGTTGATGCGACCGTGCAGCAGGAGACGTTAAAACAAGTGAAAACGAGTATTCTGGAAGGAAGCTCCAAATGGAGTGCGAAAATTGCTCTCACTGGTAAAAAGCCTCTAATTTCCTAGCTGTCACTTTCCAGGGTTGAAAATTGCATCCTAGTTAGAATTTTTAAAACTGCATATAAATTTCGAAACTGTTTTGCTTGCTGAGCAGCGCAGCTGGTGGCGGAACTGTTCATTGTTACGTCATATAACAGATATATGCATGCAGAAGTGCATGGAGTATTTACCAGTAGAAATATTAATTATGACATATATAAATCACGTTTCTGATGAGGGTATTTAATCAAGAGGAACGAGGTGGAGGAAGGAGAAGAGTATGATTTTTTAATTAATGGAAATAATCCTTTCTTAAATATATGGATGCTCGATGAGTTTGTGCAGAATGGTTGAGGCAGTTCAAAGAGTTTGAATAAATAGCAACGCGCACCAGACTAGCCGGTGCGATAATGCGTTTTGTGCAATTCAGCCAATCGAACGATGCCTATATTAATGATTTTTACTGCGTTGTATTTTAGTCTCTGCAAAAATAGATGAAACATTGAAAAATATGTAGAATCACGCGCATGCGCATGAAAGCTGAATTTGAAACATTGAAGGGTGAATATCTTTCCGTGATTCCCGAATTAACAGTTTACCCGCCAAAATTTTCACGAGGCCGTGGTGGTAGCCGAGAGCGCGTGAACGCTGAATTTGAATAGGCAAAGTTGAACGTGGGCAGTGGGTTGTTACCCCAAAATTTCAGCTTTGCAGACTTTGTGGTTTCCGAGATAATAATTTTCCCGCAAAAACTTTCACGAGGCCGTAGGTGATACCCGAGGACGCGGAAAAGCTGAATTTGAATAGGCAAGGTTGAGTATGGGCGGGGGGTAACTATTCTAAAATTTCAGCTTTCTTGACTTCGTGGTTCCTGAGATAATAATTTACTCGTAAAAATTTTTCGCCAGCCTGTAGATGATACCCCAAAGCGCGGGAACGCTGAATTTGAATAGGTGAGGTTGAGCGTGGACAGGGGGTCATTACTCCAAAATTTCAGTTTCCTAGACCCCGTGGTTCCCGAGATAATAATTTACCCGTCAAAAATTTTCACCGGGCCATATTTGTTACCCGCGGGCAGGGGATAGCTGAATTTAAATTTTCTGGGTAGTACATGAGCGGGAGACATGCTCACAAGATTTCAGCCTTCTACCTTCCGTGGTTCTCGAGATACTGATTTTACCCAAAAAACTTTTACGGGGCCGTACGTGTTACTCGCGGGTGCAGAAAGGCTGAATTTAAATTTGCCGCGTCACCCGTTGGCGGAGAACGCTGTACTAAAACTTCAGCCGCCTAGCTTTTGTGATTCCCGAGTTGAAAGTGTGGGACAAAATGTGGGACACACACACAGGCAACCCCATGACAATATGCGTTTTATACTGCCGTTACATAGCACAAAACGCATAAAAAGGACAGCATGAGAAAAAAGTATAAACTTAGGATAAAGATATTTGACTTGCAAAATTTGGAAAAAGGAATGTTAACTTGCAGTGATATGTGCTCAAGGCCTGATAGCAAAAGACAAAACGGGTAAAAGTGATCCATATGTGACGGCGCAGGTCGGCAAGGTGAAAAAGCGGACGCGCACAATACATCAGGAATTAAATCCGGTCTGGAATGAAAAGTTTTTTTTGTAAGTTTTTTGTCTCAGAAAATTAACGTATTGTTTATCTACCTAATTCGACGTGGATGCAAAGCAGCTGAAGTCTTGTTTGATTGTTTTTGAAATATTTGAATTAAAATAGCGGAGGAAATGGAACACCAGAAGGCTAAAACTTATTAATTTCATCATCGAGTGTTTTGTCGCCATGGACACAGTTGCTGGTTTCATTCTAAGCCCGCCCCTTGCAGGAGTCCAAGTTAATAAGCTGACCTGGCAGAAAATAAAAATATTTTTCAGAAACTAAAAAAAGTTCTTATTACAATAAGACTCTAGCAAAAATATTCTAATGATAATTTCTGTCATAAGTCGAAAAAATTATGATTTTTCGGCTCTTTTGGCCTGATATTTGGATTTCAACTACAGGATGGAATGAAATCCTGAAATGAAACTTGGCTACTGCAAATTGATATTTCTCATAAGTTCACAGTCTTGGTGCTTAATAAGTTTCAATTTGGCCGTATTACAGTTTCCTGAAAATGTGGCGCAATTTTCAAGGGCTGAACTGCCGTTTTCTGACTTTTTAGACAGTTGATGAGCTTTTGGGCAATAACAAAAAAAGAGTTTAATCAGAAGCCAAAAACACTGCGTGACTAGAAAAGCGGTTGTTTCTTCTCAGCAGTTGTTTTTGCCCTTATTCCTTGCAGGGATCTGCTGAAATTCCTTAATGATATTAACAATTTCACGAAGCTAAATTGCAAAATAAAATGTTGACATCTTTTTCCTTGCTAAAATTCGCTATGGGGAGATTTTGCAGTGAGTGCCACAATTCAACGGATCGAATCAAAATTCGTGTTTGGGACGAAGACAATGATTTAAAGAGTAAATTGAGGCAAAAACTGACAAGAGAATCGGACGATTTCTTGGGTCAGGCAATCATTGAAGTGAGAACTTTGAGCGGCGAAATGGATGTATGGTACAACCTAGGTCTGCTTTGCTTTTAGTTTTAATGATAATCACCAGTAATGCCAGAAAAATTTTATTTTTGAAGGATAGTCCTCTGCCTTATTTTTTTGGCCTGAAATCGTCTCATTACCGGAAATGTGCTGTGTTGGGCAAATTCAATAAACCTGATGATATGTATTTCCTTAACAGGACTGCGCCAATATTTCACATGAAACCTTTAGTACCATTAAAATGCATATGTATTCCTGCTGTAACTAGTTTGCTACTTGCTGTGCAAAGCTACTTTCCACAAATTCATAAAGCTCCCTTAGCATTTGCTGATCGCGACTTGAGTAGTTTAGATCAGGCGTAACAGAATGGAATGCGAACCGGCGAATTCTGCTTTTTTTTGAGGCGATAAGCCTTGTCGTGCTTGAAACTGTCTGAAGATTGCGGTGATTAGATACTCTGGTTATGGATACTTTGGCGATAGTTGTAATGAACTGTGCTTAAAATTTTAACTGGATTTTGAATCTATAGAGGAATGACAAGGCAATTATGATGAATCTGAGTGTTTTTTTTTTCGTTTTTTATTCGTTTTTGCTTGCAGCGCTATCAC